TGTTTCCGGGATAAAAAGTATCCTATGTCCTTCCCGGGGTCTCAAACTATCTTCTTACCAAATTTCATCTAAATCGGTTCAGTAGATCCAGAGATTACCCCCTACAACGTCACAAACTCACAAACTCACAAACCCACAAACTCACAAACTTTACCTCTTTATAATATTAGTATAGATAACTGGTTTTTGACCGCGGAATTGCTTGTGTGTACTTATGTAAATTGAGAAAAAATAGCCTTGTTCTAATCCAGCTTTCGTATATAATATATATTCTTAACGTACAAAACTTGATAATATTTACTATAATGTAATGTATAATTTTTAATAAAATTGAGTTTATAAATGAAAATGAAAAAACCAACTTCTCTTCCAAAGAAAAGAGTCGCCAGTTCTGTATTTCAATCGTGAAGAATAAAAATTATTATTATTTATATATTTTTTTATTTTATTTTTTTAGGCACAGAAACAGAAAACAAATAAAAAAATTATTACTGCTAAAAGCTTAAACATAATTTTAAAACAATAAAGTATATATATATATATATATATATATATATATATATGTATATATATATACATATATAAAATGCCTTCTAAATTAAATCATCATTTTCATGACTACATACTATATAGACATGACAAGAATGAAATTCAAGGTAGGTTTACCGGTTTTAATTAAATGAAATTGTTTAATTCAATCCACTGCAATAGTATTAAGAGTGTACTCGATCTATTAGACTTCTTGAAAACAAACAGCCGATCTAACTACTTGAGAACCAACGTTGTGGAACATAGTCCATTTTGGAGTATTTTCAAGTTTCAAGTGTTACTTTATGCTGCAGCAAACGCACAGCAAATTATGCAAAGAATGCGTCTATAGAATAACTTTATATAGGTTACTGAATTTGCTACCGACTTCAAGTCTTCTCTCAGATGATCATAACCTAAGATTTTTAATACTTTTTTAGATTTACGCGAATATTTGACATTTTAAATAAAACTATCTCTTTTTACTTTTATTCTATTAAATAAATAATATTCCATGTTCAATTATAAAACTAATTAAAATGTTTAAAGTTAAAAAATATTGTAATGTAATTGGTGCAATTTTCATTTTGTTAATTGTGGGTAGGCTGTCTGTAACAACTATACCTTCAAGACATGTAACACCTTTGTCTCTCCCGTGACCATGGATGCTGTAAAGCATTCGAAACGTCGGGAAACAAAAATGCAAATAAATTCGCGACAAAATCCGAAAAGATAGTTTTATTTAAAATGTCAAATATTCGCGTAAATCTAAGAAAGTATTATTTTATTATTTATCTGCGGTATACGGTAATTATTATACATAATATTATTGAAGCATAAATAAATCCTAGAACTGTGAGAATGACCTAGGATACTACTAACTCTTTAAATATTCGCTGTCTTTTTTAATAAGAGACCGACGGCTTTACGTACTCGCCGAGGTACAGGGGTGAAATACCGCCATTTTCCCAATTCCGGACTGTTACTAAGAATTTCTTGACAGAAAAACATAATTATATATATAATTAAACTTAAACCGACCCGGAACTCGAAGCCAGAACCTCCGGATCTGCGGACATGATCACATATATGTAATTTGTATGTATGTATACTCCTGGGACATTCATAGCAATAATATTAAACGTATCGATAAAAAATTGAAAAGTGAATCAGTGTCTCCCTGTAAATTAACTGTGTAGAAGAGTTTTAAATTAGACAATCTTTTTGATATATACCTCTGCTTTCCTGAACAGTGGTCGACAATAATTCACGTTTATTGGAACGATAAGGGATTGAACAAAGAACGCTTTTGAAATAAATCAAAATTGGCTATTTTAAAATTATGTGTCGCTATATAAAATCAAATTAAATTGAGCGGCTAATTAATTTATGTGGCTGTTTGCATTAAAAATTGAATCAAACTAATAATAATATATTTCATTATTCATTAATCATATTGCAAATTTTGTCATATAAAATTGAAACGATTTTATGTGATTTCGAAAGGCAAGATATACCAATATTAGTTAATCATTTTAAAGTTAACAAAACCCAAACTTCCTTATTTTTGTACTATGTTGTATCCGTGTGTTTGTAGAATATGATCTCCGGAACCGTTAAACCGATTTAACGGGACTTATACTAAAAGATAGATAATTCAAGTGAGAGTGTTCTAAGTTATATTTTATCGTAGTAAAGCTCGGGCGAGCTGCTGATGAAGACTATTATTCGAATAAAAATTTGCATAGACGGTTGTTATAGATAGATAAAAAGATTTACTCTCATTTACTTAGCTATATATATAACTTTGATTTAAATATGTAATAATAATAATTTAAATTTTCATCTGTTCATTCTACTTGCTTGCTAAGATAATACATGAGTATCATATTATTGTTATCAATCTAAGTATATTTAGCGCCCAAACGTATTGAGATTGCGATATTAGAATATTTATTGACTGTGGGAGAATAATACCGCTGGAACAGTTGTTTATGAAATTGTTAAGCACAATACCTTATTATTATATAAAAAATCTGGAAACTCAGTATAAATTATTCTTATAAATCATAAATGACTAATAACTCACCCGCGCTTCGCTCAGGTTCGCCCCTAGGTACGTTTTGACGCTTAGTATGGAATATATATTTTTTTTCAATATTTTTTTGTGAATTTTTCCGATGTTTTAATAGTTATTCTGCTATTCAGGGTAAAGGCAAATCCAACAAAATAAATATCATAAAAATCGGACCAGCAGTTCTCGAGTTATAAGTGTTGGATCAAACCCGACTTTGTCTATAGGTACTTAGGTACTAATTTTATCAAGAGGTAAAGTTTGTGAGTTTGTGAATTGTGAGTTTGTGACGCTGTAGGGGGTAATCTCTGGATCTACTGAACTGATTTAAATGAAATTTGGTCAGAAGATAGTTTGAGACCCTGGGACGGACATAGGATACTTTTTATCCCGGAAATCATCCCTTAAGGGGTAAAAATGGGATGAAAATTTGTATGGGAAATCAAGCGAGGGTGAGTCGCTAGTTTTATATACGAGTATATAGATTTAGAGGAGATTATCACCATCTATTAAATCTTTTTGTTAGTGTTTTCTTCATGATGAGACAAGGCTTTCTTGATAGGATTTTTAAAAAGAAACACGATTAATTGCATTAGTTTTTATTGTATATAAAATCAAATGACAAAGTTATGTATAACATCAATAAAAAAGTATAAAAGTAAAAATTCAAAAAAGCTAAAATTAGGATACATTTTTTAAAACTAGTTATTATTTTTTTAGATTTTCTATGGAAAATTTTCATTTTACACCACCTTCAAAATTGATATCACATTAAAAGTAGGTACTTGCTTAATTTGAGCAGAACTTTAATCAATTTGTACGTTTTACAATTCAAAATTCAATGAAACGTAAGTTTTCATACTTAAGATTAGAAAATTCTGATCAATTCAAATATAAGCCATTTAAACTTAAAACTTTATGTATAGTACGAAACTTAGTAAATTGAAAATATTATATGAATTTCAGTTAAATTCGTTCAAATATCTACCGCGTGATTGCTCGATGGATATTTTACAAAAATACATACGAATTTTTCCAATTTCGCATATTAGAAATATATCTCGCACTAATCTTGCTAAAACTTTCCAGTACAATCATCTTTTCCCTGATCATTTACAGCAAACAGATTTCTAAACAACGTATAAAAAGGTAATAAATCTGTTAATTTGTCACGCTGCCGCTAATGTGGATGAATGGTCAGAACAGCACACTGAATTAAACTCTCAGAATAATGAAGTGGCCGCATTCGTCTTCATTTGATCTAACTCGCTATATTAGATACATATTAAGTTGTCCAAGTTTAGGGTTCATCCGATAGCAAGTTTGTAGTGAAATTGTTTGGCAGCTTTGGGTTGGATCTACTTTGTTAACTGAGGCTGACAGTTCTCGTCCCTTGAAGAGTTTTTTCGTTATCATATATCATGGGATTTCGCTACGTAAATCTGTAACTTAAATTAGTTACTGTTGGTTATTGTTATTTTGATGGTCACTGATTTTAAATTAATATATATATATATATATATTATGTCAATTATATTATCTATAAATTTTGAACAAACAATATTTTTCTCATAGTTGCTATAAAAGTAATTAGTATGAATAATATTATGAGACAATAATCACTTAATAATCTAAAATAAGGAATACAAAAAAAATCTAAAAAGTTTACTAATACTCTCTAGGAAAAAAATATATCTACTACTTCAATCGTCTTGTATAATAAACAATTGAAAGCTAACACGTAGTCCAGTGAAATAAGGTCTGAAATCATAATTTGGCACTCAACTTTGTATTTTTTCCAATGAAAAAGAAAATCTGTCTCACTTAAAATAAAGATTAGATTTTTTAAGCGATTTAAACAAAAAATATCGCTTATTTTTCTAATACCTACATTTTTTTCAAATTTACGTTCATCCCTTAAACTTAAAACCTCTCTAACTTGGTTAATTCTGACCGTAGGAAAAGTCATGAAACCTATTTTATGTAAAATTTTAAGCTCTACACATTTTTATTAAAACTTTTTATCTATTTTTTACTATTTTCCTGTAATTGCGAAAAAACATTTTTGACAATTTTTTTTTCAACCCATGCCGGAGGTGAAGACACGAAAACCTTGGCAAATTGTTTTTGTATAATTTATACTACATTATATCAAAAATACAAAGTTGAATGCCAAAATTTTGATTTCAAACCTTATTTGACTGGACTAATAGGTATATATTGAAATAAAAATATATATAAAGAAATCTCATGTATAGAAAACAAGAATAACCATGCCCATACAGTATAAATGACTTATTAATAATATATTTGAAGTAATATATTTTTACTATTTACTAGAATACTATGAGTATATGAAATTGTTATTTAAAATGTTAAATAAAACATTATTACTTTAATATCCGGCTGCACTACCATCGCTTCGCGGATCGTATGCACCTTCCATCAAGCCATCAAGGTGTCTCACTAAAGCGCCAGCTTGGCCCACTATCTCAGAATATGGCGGTAACATAAATATGTCATGGCCTCTCTTTTTTAAATATTCAATTGTTTCATTACTAACTCGATTTTCCAATTTTAAGTTATTTTCGAAATGTCCGGTTATCGGCCCGTACAACCATCTTGGCATTGAAACGGACGTTTGCAAATTGATTTTCTGAACGGCATACCTGTGAAATATAGCAGCTTGCGTCTGAGGTTGGCCGTCTCCACCTCTAGTGCCGTAAATCAATAAGCGACCGTCGTTTAAGCGAGCAGCTGCCGGATTCAATGTATGGTATGGCTTTTTACCTGGAATCAAAGATCGTATGTGATCTTTCTTCAAATTGAAGGAAACGCCACGGTTATGCCATAAAATACCCGTAGAGGGTAAAACAACTTCACTACCAAAATTATGATAAATGCTCTGTATAAATGAAACTGAAAATCCTTTACTATCCATAATACCCATCCAAATCGTATCCCCGGGGCCTTCACCCTTTCCGACAGTAGATATTTCATTGAGACTAATATTACTCGTCATTTCGGAAATTGCGTGACTTTCTAACAGTGATTGGGCATCGACTTTCATGTAACGAGGGTCGGTTATATACCGGTCCCGTAATACAAATGCCTGTTTTGTAGCTTCAACTGTTGCATGAATAAATTGACCTTCATGTTTGCCATCAATGCGTAGCTTATCTAAGATTGCAAGAATAGATAAAGAAAGTACGCCTTGTGTGGGCGGTGGTAGGTTGAAAATCTCTCCACATGAGTGTTGTAATCTCAAAGGAGTTCGTCTAACGGGCGAGTAATTTGCAAGATCTGATTCTGTGATTGGCATACCAAGGGATTTCATGTCCTTCGCAATCAATTTCGCCAAATTACCCCGATAGAAACTATTTAAGCCATTCTCTGATAGTTCCCTAAATGTTCTAGCTAAATTCTTTTGATAAAATCGTTGTCCTGTTTTATATATTTCTCCATTTGATAAAAATGTGTCTTTGAATTCTGTTAACATATTTTTAGTTATATTAAGATCACGCATTCCTTTTTCCTGGGAAGATGATACGGCAAATCCTTTATCTGCATACGTTATAGCATCCTCCAATAACTTCGAAATAGACATTCTTTGATAGCCACATTCAGCTACGTACTTTAAAGCTTCTTCCCAACCACCCACTGTACCAGCCACAGTTAATGCAGATTTAGGGCCTTTGAAGGGAATCGTCTCGTAGCCTTCATAAAAATCCCTCGTAGCTAAACTACCAGCTGCTCCACAAGCTTCTATCGCAATAGGATCGCCCTCAGGAGGAACTATGAGCCAGAAACCGTCACCTCCAATACTATTCATATGAGGGTATACAACAGAAATGACAGCAGCAGCAGTGACCATTGCTTCCATAGCAGTTCCACCATCTCTCAAGATTTTAACAGCACTTTGCGTCGCTAAATGATGGGGAGTGACAACCATACCCCGTGGTGCTATATGACTAGTATCCATATTTTCTCAAATGCTTAGTATCTTCAAGCTTCTTATTCCTGTTAACAAATAAAAAGTTTATTTAAGTAACAACGAATAACGAAAGTTCATCACCGTAATCGCTGCTCTATTTATAAACATTTTAGTAAAGTATTAGTATAGTTTCACGAAATATTTATCCTTTAAAGTAACACAGGAACTTTTGTCGTCAATATATCGTTAGTCTCGGACGAGAATAGAGCTTAAATCTGAAATGCCTCGCTTCACAATATAAATTTTAATGTTCCGATAGCTTCTAAGCCACTTCGTCATAAATACCTAAGGTTATACCAAAAATTACTCCCTGGGGTCGGAAGGACCGTAAACTGTCTATGAAAGATAGATAAAGTGTAATATAATAAAGATTAGAATTATGGTAAACGGTTCACATTATGAGCATTCTTTATGGGCAAATGCGAATTTCCAGTAAGGAAATGATTTGAATATGATTATCTTAAATAAAGGTTTCCAATAAGGAGAATACATATTGTAAATTACGAACAGAAACTATGTTGTTCAATACGAGGATATTAAAAAAAATATTATTATTAAAAAAGTTTAATGGAGGCCCATGCCTAGCAGGCTAAAATGGCCGTTAAAATAAGGGCTGAATACTATGTTTTAAATAAATATAATATGAAAAAAAAATCATTTAAAATATTTTAGAACGAACTACGTTATGCATCTATAATACTAAAATAATAAGCCAACGGTCGAAACTTTTCAAATCGTAACAATCCTGACGTCGAAATATTATTTTTAATTGAATCCTCAGAAAACACAATACTGTTGATATTTAATTAACCCCTAGCCAGTTCCATAAAGCGAAACCTTAACGATGAATTATTTTAATTTACGACCGCCATCTTTAGTTACAGAACATCTTTCACGGCTAATTGGAAAAAACTTCTGTGACGAAAAATTTCAAACGTTTTAGACTTTATTAAAAACTGTCAGAGGGACTTCAGCAGAGTTTAATTACTATGAAAAGTCATTGGGATAATGCTTGACAACTCTAAGTGACATTTGCGAGTTAAAGTTAAGTATAAATTATAATTGTTAAATTGAGAACCTGTCTGTGACTTAACGCAAGGGTAAAACTTATTTTGAACATCCTATGAAGAAGCATTAGGGCAAACGTTTTTCGATATGCCTATTTGGGCATAAACCACCCTATGACCCTTTCGTATTGTAGGGCAAACTCGTAAAATATGTTTTAGAGCGATCCCGAACAAGGACATATAGGCCCCGGAAGGTTATTGAAAATTAAGTTTTTTGTATGCATTGAAAGGTTTATATTGAGTGACGTTTGGGATATAGGAATTAGCTATTTATACTTTTGAAACTAGATCTAAACTCTGTAGATACCTAATTTAGAAATATTATCCTCTTACATTTTCAAGCTATTGTTTGATTTTGAAAAAATCTGTGATTTCGAGTTAATTATTACAATTCACCATACAGCTTCATAATTTAGAATTCAATATTTTAGACTATTTTAAATAAAGTTAAATTGAGTTCCTATTACTTTTTAAGGTATCATTTGCGTGGCAATAATAGCAAGTATCTGCATTTCTATCACATGTTAAACCAAACAGAACCCAAAATATGAATATAACAAATATTTGTATTTGATGTATATATATATATATATATATATATATATATATATATATATATATATATATATATTAAGTTTAAGCTGATGAAAAGTTATTTCTAATTTACTCCACCAATTTAACAATAATCACTACCATGTGTAGTTATACGTCCTTGACCTATAGACATAATATTATAGACTACTCGTTTTCTGAATATATAGAAGCTAGAATCCATATCAATTTGAACAGCGCAAATTGAATTTATTAGTACAATGCAGATCTAGTCGGTATATCAATAACATAGGTCATATGAGAGCTGTTATCCCTGCAACATGAGATTACATACTATTAAGCGTATCTTGTAGATGAACAATAAATCTGCACTAATAATTTAATATAGAGCTAGTTTAAATTCATCCTTGGAGCGTAGATGAAGAGAATAGGCAAGGCAACTTCACACAAACATTTGTATGGGTAATTCAAAGAATCAATCATTCTGGAGTCGAACATGAGTTCAGTTATGGCAAGCATTGCTATTCACAATTATGTCCACTGAGCTACTATAGCCGTTACGAAGTTTATGTTAAAAATATAAGGAATTGCATACAGTCCGAACTATAAAAATCGGTAATGGTAGTTGAAGTACCAGCGAAAAGGTGATTGATGAGACTGGTTCGATCGTGGATCGACCTCACTATCTAAAAAAATGTAAACGATGAAGTGCAAATTATTAGAAAAACTTTCTTAGGTAATAAAAAATTTAAAACTATATCGTGTCCATAAAAAATCAATTAAAAAGTATTATTGTTTTATCGATAATCACGAAAGCCAAGAAATAATAAATTAATATAGTAGTTATTCTTTTTCTACAGTTTTACCTGTAGCTCCTCTTCACTACATCTTCTCTGTCCCTATATCCCTATGTATGCTTAAATCTTTAAAACTACGCATCGGATTTTGATGCGGTTTTTTTAATAGATAGAATGATTCAAGAGGAAGGTTTTAGTATATAATTTATTATGTTTTTGTATACACTGGCTAAAATATAACGATATTTGTTGGAGGTGACGGAAAAAATAAGACGTCTGGGAGCTTTCAATGAAAACGCTGCCTAAACCCTTTGAGATATAACAAAATAATGTATGGTGGAATTGTGTATCTTATATATGTCTACAGAAAAGTCCGCGATGGCATATGTCTATCTCTTAAAGATATTATATGGAAAAAACTAGTATGTTACTCTTATCTGAATCCTTTAACTTTTCCTGCCAATACCTTACTTTTCCTTTTTAGCCATTTTTTCTATTTTTTGTGATAAAATGTTCACTAACAAATGTTTACTAACATTTTTTAACTCCTGTGTGGAAGCACCTTTATCCAAATAGAATGAAATCTTTTTCTTTACTGATATACTCGTACATAACCCATATTACTCTTGCACAAATTCTCAATCCACATTCAGAAAATTGTACTTAAATCTATGCAGTCATACCAAGATTAATAAAATAAGTACATTCAAACAGACAAACAATTACCAATTATTAGTAGAATTTTAGTATCTTGCAAAAAACTATAATATTTTTATTATTAAATCAATAAAAGGCGCTATTTTATAACCACTGAGAGGTTTCTCAAGTTTATTTCGAAGCACCTCAATATAAACTAAGTCCAAGTAAGTAATAAACTAAGTGTAACATGTTCATATAAGTTATAATTAATTACAATTATTCATTTCTAAATGGATAAGTAAATATCTAGAATTGAAGTTGATAAGAAATTATACTATGATATATGAACTTGTAATAACTTGAACTAACTTCTATATAAGTTGGCAACTCTGCTATTGCATTCGAAGTTCGATTTCATGTGAAAGTTTTATCAGAGAATGGCAGACGGATATTAGTTATGACACTAGATTGCATTTAAAAAATGATAAAATATATAAATCACTTATAAAAAATTCAGGACTTTAAATTCTTACGATCAGTACAAATCTTTTATATCTATACATATATTTAATAGTAACTAAGCCGAATCTGTACATTAAATATTTTTTGGAAAATCTTATTGAAATAAACATTAATATCGATGCAGAGGCCGAATTTATAGTTTTTAGAATGTTTGTCTGTCGGTCTGTTACCACATCACAGAAAAACCACTGGAGGGATTTTGATGAAATTTGGTATGAAGATAGCTGGTTATCCGAGTCAATATATAGGATACTTTTTACCACGGGAAAATTCTCATTTCTGAGAAAAAATACAAAAACTGAAATGTAAGAATATAATAAGATGTAAAACTTAAGAATTTGGTTTTTGGTTATCTGAACGCTTGCGGAGTCGCGGGCAATGCTAGTAGAATATACATATATATAAAAATGAATGTTCGTATGTTTGTCCTCTAAGCGTTCCTAAACCATGGATCCAATTGTGCTGAAACTCTGGTAGGTTATTCTGTATACGCCTGTGAAGGGCTCCTGGTGCAAAATTAGTAGTAAGTATATCTATACTTATTATAAAAATAAGTCCCCCGGCCGCGTCTTTCTGTCCTCCTGTCTGTCCTCCTGTCTGTCTGTACGCGATAAACTCGAAAACTACTGAACGGATTTTTATACGGTTTTCAACAATAGAAAGAGTAATTCTTGAGGAAGGTTTAGGTATATAATTTATTATGCTTTTATGTAAATTAGCTGAAATACGGCGACAAATGTTGAAGAGGTCGCAAAAAATCTCGCCAAATGGGAACTTTCCACGCGAACGCCGCGTAAACTAGCAAAGATACAGTTAAGTAATGTACTAGAGAATTCAAAATCTATAAAAATGCTACAAAAAAGTCCGCGATAGCATATCTCTATCTCTTACGGTTGACTTACAATAACCACTTTTATGTTAACATTTTTAATTAAAAACATTACGTTATTTTCAAAGTTATTTTCTTTAGTTCGGTATTAATCCTTATCCAAATGAATATTTTAGTTAGCTTAGTCATTTAATGCAGATTAAAATTGCTCTTTACACTAAATCAATCAGATGAATAGTTTTTGAGATATCGTTGTTAGAAGTAATTAGTAGCGAAACATTTTTAATGCTTGGCGAGCATTGAGATGCCTACGGCGAGTCCATCCCCTCTGCCCCGCATCGCTCGACCGCCTGCTCAAGCTATATAAACCGGGCGATGTAGCGCGCGATCCTAGGATACTTTTTACCGCGGGAAAATATCTTATTTCTGAGGAAAAATACAAAAACTGCAATGTAAGAGTATACTAATATGTAACACCTAAGAATTTAGTTTTTGGTCATCTGAACGCGGGCGGAGCCGCGGGCAATGCTAGTATATATATAAATATATCTTTAATTAGTTTTTTTACTATTTTTCTATACA